TGCAGACGCTGAGCTCTCTGCTGTCCTCTCCACCTGCTCTCTTTGCTCGTGCAGGCTGGATCTCCTGTGGCTGAGCAGGGTCATGCACCAGGACACAGACCTCAACCACGTCCCCTTCTGGCTCCGCAGCCTCCTTTGCTTCTAGCCATGGAGCTCCTTCCCCTGCTGCATTCTCCCTTCGGAAATTCCCCGTGCTCATTGCCTAGAGCAGAGGTCTCACAGAGCAGCCCCAGTGTGGCTCAACCATAGGACTGGGTGGAAAGGACGACAGATGAAGCTGCTGGGTTTAACGTTTCATGCTGGGCTTAATGTTTCATTGCTGGGGAGTCCTGAGAGCCAGTTTCTCTTTCCTCAACAGGAACACAAGAAGCAGAGGGAAATTTGACTTGCAGTATTTATTTTCCATTTGAAAAATTACCATAGATTTCTATGCAACTGAAGCGCAGCCCTCGGGATGCTGGCGAGGTGCCCACGTGGCTTTTGATGTTGCAAAGCTCTGGACACGCCTGCTTGAAAGCGTTTTATGATGTTCTTCTCCAAGCAAGCCAAGTTCAAAGGAAAGGCTCCCCGGCTGGCGTAAATCAGCTGAGCGCCGCGCACGCCTGCTCCGAGCTGGCAGAGGCCACGTGGGCTGAGGGCTCGGACCACCCTGCCGGGCACTGCCTCGCGGCGCTCCGCAAACCCTTATGGATGTGCCAAAGGAAACCGTCACTTTGCCCGGGCGAGGATGAATGTCCCGGCTTAGGGCCTTTGAAGCCAAGTATCACGCTCCTGACAGTCATTAGCAGCCAGAGCACAGATGAGCTCATTTTCTGGTTCTTATTCTGGATTCAGAGGGCAATCCTCAACCAAGAGATGGGGGAGAGCAAAGATAGCTCTTGCTTGGAGAACCCTGAACCTCCAAATGCTGTGAACAAGACTAAATTTAGTGCCGCTTCCCAGAGGGGCTTCAGCTGAGTACCACTAATTTGGCAGAGTGGCTGTAGTTCAGCTAGGCCGGATCCTAGCTGCTTCCTAGGCTGGAAGGTCTGGATCCTGCTCACGAGAGCAACCTGAAACAGATGCCCAAAGGCTTGCAGGAGCGGAGATTGCAAGCTGAGCCCTCAAACGCTGCGGGCGATAGGGAGGTGGGACAAGCTGGCCAGAGCAGGTGAGGCAGGTAGGACATGCAGGACAGCCGAATGCAGGTGCAAGGACAAACACTGAGAGGGCAGTGGAGAAAAGAAAGCCGTGCTTGAGCAGTGGCCCTGACACAAGCCATCCAGTCCTCTCGGCACAGCGCACACATGGTTACACCGCTTCCAGGCTTGGTGCTGTTCTTCCACAACCCCGAGGATCATGTGCAGGTGGTGGAGAGCTGCCTTCGCACCTCTCTCCGGGACGCACCATTTGCTGCCTCCTGGCTCTGGGTCCCTCCTCCCTCCCCGTTTTCCTTGCTGCTCCCACTTACCACCCATCTCTCCCACCTTTGTCTTTCCACAGCTGCACATCACCAACCAGACATCTGCTGGGGAGATCGTGAAGCTGGTGGTGCTTGAGATGAACGATGTCTCCCGGCGCGTGCTGGGCAGCGTGGCTGCCCTCTGCTACAGCGAGGAGCAGCTGGAGCACTTTGGACTGGTGTTCGCATCCCACGACAGTGAGCAGTGGCTCCCTGATGACTTCTTGCCTCTCTCCCTCCAAACTTCCTGGCCCGAGGGGCAGTTCTACGTGCGGATCAAGGAAACCTCCCCCCTGGTGTTCCAGTATGGGCCAGCAACCACTGTATGAGAGGAGGAGAGCCGACCAGGGGAAACTTGAGGGGCCTCAACTTCCAATGAGCAAACAGCTCGTCTCCGATGCTTCCTTCTTACACAGACACCCTCTCATTAGACGTCCACAGAGCGGAATAGGATCATACTGGGCTGTGTGTTATTTGTTTGTGTGTTTTTTTTTTTAACCAAAGAGACATCAAGACTCAGTTTTTCTGACTGCAGAAGACAAGGGTGGAGTGCAGAGACCTCAGAGCTTGGGAGGAATCTTTGCTGGAATGGAATTTTTGAAAGTAAACATTTTTAAGGGGAAAGGGCGGGGGGAGAGAGAGTGTGGAAAAATATTACGAGAAGAAGCAATACCTAACTTTTGTTTTCCTCTTTTTTTTTTTTTTTGTCCCCCTTAAAATCCTTGTTTGGGATTCAGTGGAGGAAGAGCCCCAGAAGATCTCTGGGTGGGGTGGTAGTGTTAATTAGGAGAGGGAGCAATGCACAAGGACCACATAGAGAAGGTTGTTTTCCTAGCTGTCCTCATTTCACTGTACCTGGAGAAACAATTCTTGCACATCGTTCTTGGCACAGTTGATATTATTTTTTTCCTTACAAAACAAAATTGTGCTAGAGACGCTGGAGGTGTGCATGGGATGAAGACCCTTTTCACTTGTTTCAAAGGCAAAAGGAAACCATGCAGACACACGTGCACATGTACACCAACGTGTTGTTATCACCACTAGAGGTTTGCTATAGGGCATCTACCGCAGCACACTTAGTACCACCTTGGGATTTCCTTTCCTCTCTTGGTTGCTGTTTTGTTCTGGTGATTGTGATTTGCCTCTCTTGTACGTCCTATAGCATGATGACATTTTGTTAGCAACTAGGTCTCTTGTTAACAAGCTTCTCTTTCTTTTTTTTTTTGATCTAATGTGGTCCATAGTAAAGATGACTGCTGCTGAGAACATACCACTCTTGTCCTTCTTGCAACGTGATGTGTGGTGTCCATTTCCTTTACACGGGTCCTCCAAGTCAACTCTGATTACAGCGGCTTCACTTTCCCAGGAGAGTTTAATGGGATGCTCTCACCTCAGTTGAGGCTTACATTAACACATATTTGCAAATGGTGCATGTAGGAGTAAAATGCATCTTGGAAATGTTTTTTTTTTCTGGGCTTCAGTGCATTGGAAGTCAGTAAAAATCAGTTTTGGCATGCCAAGCCAGTCACCTTCTTGTGTTGTGGGAAAGCCAATGGTTGTAGGGCCAAAACACCTGCAAATGTGCAGTTAAATGTTAAATCCAGTCCCACAGACTCCCACAGAGTAAAAAGTCAAGGAGAAGAGTGAGGAAGGTGAAGTTAGATACTGCAACTGGCACGAATTTTCAAGCTAGTGGCACTAAAGGCACTAAACCAGGCAAAGGGATGGCTTTCCTTTGCAGGTGAGGTTCATGCTGCTGCTGTAGCTGCCGCCGTCCCTTTCTGTCCGCATAAACCGACCAAGGCCCAGGTCTGCAGCCCCGGTGGCCCTTGGGGTGCGTGCGAGGCACCGCTGAGCTCGCTGCCCTGCTTTGGCTGTGGAGAGGTGCCCCGGGGCATGCAGGAGGGCAGCAGCGTGTCCTGCACAGGGCAGCTCTGCGGGGCAGCCCCACGGCCAGGGCCAATCCAGAGCGCGCCCGGCGGCAGCGCAGCCACATCTACAAACACTTCCCCCGTTTTCTGTCCCTTTCCGTCCATCTCCTTCCTCGGGTTAAAACTGATCTCACTTCTCTGGACTCATTAACAAATCGATTATCGATCTGGGAGGACTCCTGTAGTGCTTGCCCTTGTAGAGCATCCACATGCATAGGGGTGCTGGAGAGGGGAGTAGCACTTGGGTCTTGTGATGCACCTCTGCACCAAAAGCTTGTTCACACACATCACCTTGTGTCCCTACCTGGATTCCCTGCAGGTTGACCCTGCTGCTGTCTGGTTACCTGCCCTTCTCAGCCCTGCACATTGCAAGGGCTCTCGGGCCATGCAGTGCTTTCATGGAGGAGTTTCACTGGGCATGCAGTGGGATATATCACATGGAACAAGAGCATGTTTCATGGGAGCCCTTCCCTGGAGGAGGAAGAGGAGGAAGGAGCAGAACTTGGACAGAAGCTGAGTTGAATGCAATCAGAATAGAAAGGGTGGGTGCTGCAGACCAAGTGTGTAGAAATCTCCCTCCTGGGGCCCTGGGACATGAGATGTCCTGATGGAAGCTGCTATAGGTAGTGTCATCCATCCCCCCAAACATACCTGTAGCCCCAAATCTGCCCCTGGAGTGGACTTCTGGACAGTTCTGCTCTGGTACGTGGTACCCGGTAAGGTAAAACCACTGCTCCATGTAGGAAAAGCATAGCAAAGAGGCTGAGTGAAGAAGAGTTGCTTATGGGACATGCTGGCTCTTCTGTGCAAGGTTTCTTGGAGGATGCCGCTTGTAAATTGGTTGTATTTTTCATATCCTTCTTCTCTCCAGGGTGTCTTCATAGTTGCATCCTAAAGTGTTCTTCCCAAACAGGTCTTGAGGCTTTCAGGTCCTCTCCTGTCCTTCCCCATGGCCTAGGAGTGGGAGCAGAAACCCATGTATGTGGCTGTGTCCAGTTGCAAAGCTATGTGGAGAACTGGTGTTGCCACTGGAACCAGTCTGGATCCATGATCATGAAGCTTTTTTTTTTTTTTTTTTGAAGGCTACATCACGTGTTCTCCTAAGGGTTAACATAGGGGTTTAAACACAGCACTGGGGCCTAGTGGCCCAAGTCACTAAGGAGCACTGGGCGTGAGCGGCTCAGGCTCGGCTCTGTCGCCTCCTCACCTCCCTGTGCCTCGGACCTCTGTTCCTTTCTTCCTCCAACCCAACAGCATGTGCAGGTGGCCCAGACCAAGGCGGGTGTCAGGCTGGGGACCTCCCCACGGCTCAGGGCTCCATCGCTGCTGTGGGGAGAGGGCCACGGGGCTGCACAGCACTGCGTGCTGGGCGACGGCTGGGGCAGGCACTGCCAGCGGCACCGGGATTAGCAGCATCTGCCCCGCCAGGTTTCCCTGAGCTCTGCGCTAACTCCGCTGGTGACAGCAGCTTGGCAAGGGCTCTCGCTCAGTGGGGACCAGCCTGGCGCTTGCTCCGACAGGCGCCAGGGCATGGCCCATACAGGAAGATCCCTGGAGCAACTGGCCTCTGCCCCAGCACGGGGAAGGGGCTGAGGGGCAGCTGGAAAAGGTGTCTTTTTGCTTATAGCAATCCCCTTCTCCTGCTGTTTTAATGAGACAGCTAAGCTAGAGTCCAGGAGCACCAAAAGATGACACTGCAGAACAATTTGTACTCAGTGAGGGTTCTTTTGTCTGTCAGCATCAATTTGAGTCTTTAGTAGTCTTCAAATGTAGATGACTGTATGCATTTTTGCTGTCAGGGGCACTGAAATGCAAACGTGAGCTTGTCCAGGCTGGCCATCAGGTCTTCTACTAACTGCATGGAGGTAAACCAAGCAGGTCCAGAATCTCACCAGCAGAAAGCTGTCATAGCACCATGAAGGCTAATGGCAATGTAGTAATTCATATCATCAGAAGAGCCATCCCAGGGTGGTATTGTTCTCAGATTACATAGATCCATAGCAATAAACCTAAATTATGACAGTTTGAGTTTCCTCCCCCAAATCAGGGACTTGCTGGCTTCAGTTCTAAAGCATTAGTATTTTATTTTATGTCCTGTCCAAAGGGAGTTACTCAATTTATCAGCCACAAATCCAGTTTTGTGGGTTTTCTTGTGTTTCCCCAACGTTTAGCTCTCTGGAAGACTTTCTTCAAGCTCTTTCTAACAGGAGAGGAAGCAAGAGCCATGCCAGCCATCTAAAACAGTGTGGCAGTGCCAGGGCTATTCCAACACATGCAATTACTAAGTTAATTATTGCTCTATCATCTGCTGGAACTCTGTTCATTTACTATGTCGCTACACAGGGCTGTTTATCCACATAGCTTATAAATAGATTTGCCATCTAATTGAAACATGGTGTGATCAGATTTATGCTCAGTGAATCAAGGGGTTGCCGAAATGCCCACACTTTCCACCCTCAGCACAGATGCCCTCTGAGAGTGCTGCTATGCAGAGCAGCCTCTGAGCAAAACACTGTTGGTCTGAAGCTCACTGTCAAGGAGCCTTTGCCCGGATGGTCTAAGTTTCTCCAAGAAGCCACACACTGGTGGATTCTGTACGCTGTGGGCAAAGCCACTTCCCATGCAAAACCAAGCCCGACAATGTAGATTTTAGATGGACTTGTAATTTCCCAACCACAAAGAGACCTGGAATGGAGTAGATCAGAGTCTTGGTAATGTTGACACCATTGGAAAGCTCCAGTTGACTTCAGTGTGTCTAGGATTTTTGGCCTGAGATTCTTCAAACCCACCTAAAGACTGAGAAGGAAGCAGATTTTTTCCGTCCTGAGAAAATTCTTGAGATCCTGGAAAATGTTCTGCTCCCAAAGTTACCTGAAAAAAATAGAACAGCATAAAAATAGGAACTGAAAATACAAAAGCTCAAATGGAGACAACAGAATTTGGATTTTTTTTTAAACAAATTCACTTTCACACGACAAAATAAAGCATGGAAACCAGTCTATGTGAATATTTAATTCAATTATGTTAGGGATGACCATTTGTTGAAAGCAGCAATTCCTTATGGGCATTTATAGTATGGTTAAAAAAAAGGAAAAAAAAAAAACACAACAGATGATGTTTTAGGACAACTTTTCTCTGTGGCTTTCCCCCAACTCCCAGCTTAACCCAACAGACCATAAAACAGATGCGTAAAGCCGTATATGCACTTTGCTGACTCAGGCTTCAAACAGTCTTTGGTGATGCAAACAGATTTATCCCAAATTGATCTGTAAGTTAAGCACAGTTTTGCTTTTCCTTGTCTTGTTTGAGGTGGTGGACCTGAATTTGGGAGAACACTCCATGAAAATAGATAGTGAATACAGCATGGCCACTTGAGTAAAGAGGTAGTGCTGTGCCTG